GAGTGATGGCCTCCACCCTACCAGCGATGGCCTCCACCCTGCCAACGATGGCCTCCAACCTACTAGCGATGGCCTGCAACCACCTCCCAGCGATGGCCTGCACCCTACCAGCGATGGCCTCCAACCTACTAGCGATGGCCTCCAACCTACTAGCGATGGCATCCAACCTGCTAGCGATGGCCTCCAACCTACTTAGAGATGGCCTCCAACCTGCCTCCAACCTACTAGCGATGGCCTCTAACCAACAATTCCAGTTGTTGATGGACAACTGTTCTTTTAGAATTGCAATGTCTTGCAAAATCCAGTTCCATTCCCCCACCAAATCTCCAGCGCCCCTATATTGGGAGTTTCCGAGTGGTTTAATGGTCGAAACAGCAGGCACGACCTTTGGACGAGCGAGGAAACTTGTGAGAAACTCGTGAGAAACTTCTAGGCCGAGGCCAGGACAACGGTTTTTTTAGGAAGGCAACTGGCTGTTGCCTACGGTCCGCAAAACACCGACGAACGACGAAGGTCGCTGCAGGTGCGTCGTCACGACAGGCCGGCGTTTAAAATTGTCTCATAAGGTCGCCAACATCGCCAGGAACATCAAGCCCTGCTCATCACTCTAGTCAGGTTGTTGGCCCGTTTGTTTTCCCTGTCCGTGCTCTTTGTGTGTGTATCTGTGTCAACAGGTCCAAACATTTTGCATTTCTGAAGTCTGTGTGCTGTTTCCGACCAACGCCTGCCTTGGCTTTGCCTGTTGGCCGCTTCATCAAGAGGATTCAGGGGAATCGAGGGAGAACACGGTTCCTTGAATTGAATAGGCACTTGCTGAAGGCTTTCGAACATGGTCTCTTTATGCCTAAAAGAACATTCTTGTCGGCCTACCCTTGAGCATCATGGTGTTATCGTGTGATGGGCTGTTCTCGTAACTACCGCTACACACGCCCATCACACGCTGCACATGAAGTCATCTGTGACTGCATTCGATGCTTTGATTTCGGCGCCAAACGGTGGCAAACGCGACGAACACGTCGTATCCATCTCATCAGACTCTTGGGAACTGAGCGGGACAAATCGAAACACATGCGACGAACACGTGGTCAAAGCACTGCCAAGTGGAGAATAGGCAGCATGTTGTCAAAATCCCCATGATGTGTGTGTGTGGCGCCGGTAGCATTCAAACTCCGCAATCCATTTTCAAGAACCCGTCCATCTTATTGACGGAACACGCACTCATGCTTTGCTGAGCGGTTTGTACAAGAGCTTCCTGTGCCGCCAGAACTAGATCGTCGCATGCGGTCTTTGGCAGGATTGCACCAGACTACCTCAGCCGCACAAAAATAGGTATGCAGGATCTCAGCACGCGATCTCAGTCTGCCCTGAGATACTTGCATCAATCATGCGACCAACATCCAAATGCGTCTTCGTGGCAGGAAATAGCGTCCTGGAGGCGAAAAGTTCTTGATCCCTCCACCAGCTGGGACTAGCATGATCTCGCGATCAGGCAGGCGTGGTGGTGGAACTGGGTCTGGCCACCTCAGCAACAATCCGTTCTCCGATGATTCGTGGGTGGAGCAGAACATCAGGAGCTGTTGCAGATCGAGCCCGGGGATCCCAATGTATGATTTCAAGGCAGCGCAGGCTGAAAAGCAAGGCCGTGACCATGGGTCGCCGTTGGGTTTGGTCATCTCCTTGGATTGCAACATTTCAAGCTACGAACGTAGCACAGGCATCTCTACGAACGGAGCAAGGACGCTACGAACGTAGCTTCTGGCCTTACTACTAGTAACAAGAAGCTTCAGCACAAAATCAAACGCCGGAGGCACAGCGCACAAAGCACGTCAGGTTCAGTAATCCCCGCGGGGGGGGCAAATGGGATTCCCAGAAACAAGCGTGCACCCGGAGTGGGTTTACAGTTAATGGTTTCCACAAATCAATTCCAATGTCCAAACTCTCTAGTGGCCCAACTCTTTTTTTGTACTTTCGTTCATGTTTTCCCCTTCTAAGAATATCTGCGACAACTGCCAAGGTACGCGAGGCAGCTTGGTCACCGTACCTGCCACAAAGAACCGTAGCAACTCAACAAGTTGTTTCCCTGAAGAACATGCCAGCGACACTCCGGGAGTTCCATTCGTGCAAGATCTTTTCCATCTGGTCATGGTGAAGGTCAGCGCGCTTCAATGCCTGCCAACTCGTGCGAGTTGCTCCAAGGCAACAAGAAAGATGTTGCGCAACCGTGGCCGCGCACTTTTTCACATTGGAGGCCATGACTAGTAACCCAAAGCTACTAGGTGGAGGCCATCGCTCTTAGGTTGGAGGCCATCGCTACGAACGTACCGTTCGAAGCTGCTTCAGAACGTTTGCCACCGCTGACCGCTTCCAACTTGAACCACCCGGCGCTTCAGATGCTCTCTCTCTTTCTCTTGTTACTAGTAGCGTCCTTGCTCCTAGTAGTACGGCCAGGAGCCCCTAGTAGCGTCCGATCGCTCCTAGTAGCGATGCCAGGAGCCCCTAGTAGCTACTTGTTACTACTAGTTACTTAATGCATATGCACGTTATTGGAGGTGGGCCTTTGGGACGTGCGCTACAGGTCCACCGAACCCGGCGCGACAGAGGCCGTGGGAATCCTTCGCCAAAGAGCAAAAAACCGCGTGACCACAATCGCAGATGCCAACTTCAACTGCGGTCAAGGTGGCCAAGGGAACTGAAGCAAACATGCGATGAAACATGCAACAGTGGTAACTTGTGTTGAACGAAGGTTGAATAATGATCAACGGTGGTGGTTGTTTGATTGGAGTGCACGCGTGTGTCTTCTCGCTTGGATGCTGCGGCCACAAATTGAGTTCCAGCGCCCAATCATGGCAAAACCGCAGGAGAAGGAGAAGGAACTGACTGACCCGAAGCGTCAAACCTGTGTCAAACAGGTTTGGTGGTTGGACTTGTTTTCGCGTGGATTTACCCCCCAAAATGGAGGACGTTCGTGGTTCGCAGAGACCACGCAGGACGTGAATGTACCACGGTACCGCCAACCGCGGGGGACAGAACGTGGTTGTTGGACCAGGGCGAGTTTCGAGAGATGCAAACCCTAGACACAAACACTCAAGCTTTCCTGTATTTGCAATGCATTTGACCTGGTTTACCTGTTAAGTCAACCCTACCAGAAACCACTCGCATAAACACGCGGAACATCTTGAAGACATGGCTTGGCTTCCACAAGACACGCCTCCTCCGCCATGTCCTGCTGGTCATGCAACGCGTCTCGGGCTTTGTGTAGCTCCTGCAGGTCAAAAACTAGAAAGTAGCCACCCCAAATGACATGGGTATACATGCAGCTTTTCGCCATCAAGCTGGTTCTTTCATGCAGGTTAGACATCCCAATCAACTAGACCATCCTTGCCTTCTTAGAAGGGTCTTTTCGCAGGGACGCATGGGATCTGGGACCCAAATCCGGACGTGCAGGAGGATGAAGCCCCAGTCCTCTAAGGTGATTCCATCGAAGACTTGTTCGGCCTAATAGGTTCGGATGAAGAGAGATGAAGAGAACAACATTGAGACATGTAGGAAACATTGAGAAAAGCCGTCTTTCTGACAGATGACCAGTCTTTGTGCGACATTGAGAAAAGCCCTGCGGCAGGCACCTCTTTGAACCGCACGATCTAGCTAGCTCAAAGCAGGTAGGCAGGCAGGCACTGAGGTGTGCTTCAAACAGTTCGATGAAGTTGATTTATATCAATATACCCGGCTGGGAGGAACAAACTAAAGCAACACTGGTTGTTGTCTCCATTCCTTTGCCAAACTGGGGTTTGAAGATGTTTGAAGTGTCTCATTCTCGGCCTCAACGCACCCTGTGCCTCTTGATTCTTTTCTTCCAGGTAATCAAAGCGCTCCAATGGCGTCTCACCCTGCACGTTCAGGGCACGTGGACTTCACGGCGCCCAGCGGCGGGTTTTGCGGGACTATATATTCACTCCCAAAATGTGCTTGTTCCAGCCAGTAGAGGTAGCTGCCAAAACCGAGCACCACTTCGACCGGCACTTAGGTGATGCTTGTCGGAAGGTAAACCAACTCGCTGCAGCTTCCATCTCGTCCTCTCCAAAGCACGCAGATAAGAATTCGCCCAAATCCCGACTTTGGCAGGGAGGCCCAACAAATACACATAAGACATGATGATCTGAACATGATTCTCCTCACACCCCCTCTCTGCTACTCCATCTTGCTGATAGCCAACAGTCCAAAGTGTTTCAACTAATCCCTTCCACCTACTATTTATTGACATAGCGAACAGAAACATGCCCAGGGAAGCGTAGAGGATCTACAGCTCCTGGAGGCGTTTCCCTACTGTTGGCCTCATCCACCAAAGCTTTCGCCTGGTTGTGAAGGTGCCTGGCCTTGGAAATCTGAGGGGGCTGAGCCAGGGAAAGTCTGGATCCGCAAATATGGTAATTAGTAGCGTGAGTAATTACTCTCAAACTCGTGGAAATCAATGTCCGCTCGAAGTGGCTACCAGATTTAGCTGGGTGACTCGGTACGACTATTTTTCGAGAGCTTCTGATCCGCCACGCAAAGAGTGTCACATCCCTTCACCCGAGGTGGATCCTCGGTCCTCGCTCAAGGAGCCGCGGAGCCGCGCCACGGCCACCAATGGGTTCCGGACCATGAGCACTTCGGGCGGATCGCCACCGTCCAATGCTTCCGACTGGGCGCATGGGAGAGCGGATGAGCCAGCTGTTCGGAAGGGGCAGACAGTCTTCTGGAGGCCATCGCAAGTCGGTTGGAGGCCATCGCTACTAGGGTGGAGGCCATTGCTAGTAGGTTCCAAAGGCCGATGAGTCGAAAGGGGGGGTGTGGAGCTCAGGGGCGAGCAAAATTGCTGGTAGTTTGCTCCCAAAGATGGCCAAGAGTGTTGACCCACCCATCCAAAAATTGCAACATTGGACGACGCAAAAGAGATGGGATGAAAAAAACACAGATTGTGGAAAGAGAACCCCCAAACACGTAGCAGCTTTTTTCGTCCTGGGAGGCAGGAGTGCTCCAACGTCAGACTTCCCTCAAGCTCCCAATTCCCACCTTGGTCCAAGAATACATTGCAACTTGGAAAAAAGCAGCGCGCCATGTGGGCGCAACGCCACACGCGTGTCACACACACGGATCGCACCGTGTGAAGCCTTTCGCAAGAGCTCGTTGAGGCTCTGGGTCATTGAGTTCACTTTGTCCCAATCTGGCCATAGTGGGAGTGTGCATCGCTCAGCAGTGAAGCTTTTGAATAGATATCAAATGGGTCGGGTCGTGAACTTTTAAGAATTGACGCTGACTTGAATTAGGTTGGAGCGCTCTTAAAAACATTCACAACCAGTGTCTGCATGTGCATGTGTTTCTCTTGATTAATCAGACATGAAGTAAAAGCAAACAGGTTGTGAAGTTGATGATTCATAGCTGCATATATAGAAGTCAAGTGTAGAACATGTTCAGCACCCCTTGTCCAAAGCATATTAAAGCCTTCAACTAAAATTTGTGACACATACCAACTAGTGAGCCACTGGAGCCCAAACGAAGACACTAACAAAGACCCCATTCTTCGGTAAGCAGTTCGCCTACAGCTGCCTCCCGGTAGCCCGCAGCTTCGCCCGCTTTGGTCTGGGCCGACGCGAGCACGCGCACGTCTTTGGTCAGCACTGCCGAACGTTCCGAGCCCGTGGCAGCTTCCGGGAAGGTGTTCAACCTTGACGCCATCGCTACGAGGTTTGACCCCCCCAAAACTGGAGAAGCCGAGGATTTGCCCCTTCATCGCCCTGGTGGAGCTGGTTCAGGTCTCTCTCGCACTCCTTTCGAGTCTCCGCACCACCGCTTCGTCGGCATAGAACATGGCGTTCGCGTACTCGCGCTGGGCTTTGACTGGGAATACAACGAGGCTAGGGCCGGGTAGGGCCCTGGCCGACCAGGGTAGGGTCTGTCAGGAAAAGAAACTGCTGTGAGCGCTTCCCTCCGGAGGGTCTAAACCATCACATGGAAATAGGCTATCACTCGAAATGCTCGAAGCAACGGAGGCAGGCAACGGAGGCAGTGCAAACATGGCAGGAAGCTATAGGGTATCGTTTGCCACATGTGTGTGAAAAAGACGGTGCCTTGCCTTTTTGCTGCTTCGAGAAGTGGGTTGAAAGGCTCGTTGATTTGTTAGATTAATGTGCTACTTTTCAAACATGCCCTGAACACCATTGAAGAAATGACATGTACCGCAGGAATCCCCAAAAGAAGCTGAAAGAATGGGGCCGTTTTGGAGCATCTCGGGTAGTGCAGGAATGGGAGAGGCATTCGAACAAAAACACGACCTGTGCTTTGCTGCTTTAGCGAAGCAAACTAATTTAGTCATGTCTCCACCAATTCCACTTGCCCAAATTGAAGAACAAAGCCACAAGACTTGGGGTGTGGTCCCATGGTTTGACAGTTTGCATCCCAAACATGCTTTCAAAACAAGACCTGCAGCAGAACTGCACCACTTAAACCACTTGCACCACCATAAAAACGATCGTCCTACCGACCTCCTCCCTGCTCGCCCAAGGTGCCATTCGCCACGTCCGCCTGCGCGCCAAACCAGCCGGACTCGGTGGCGATGGCGCCTCAACAATCGGGTCCTCACTGGTCAATGGTCATTCTGGACTCCGGTGCTGTTATGTGCTATCCCCGGTGCCGTTGGGACAGGATCGCGCCATAGAAGGCCAAAGGGGAGAACGGGACTGAGGTAGCCTGTGCTAGGAGTCTGGGCCCACTCCGTCTAGGACTGAAAAGGGATGAACAGGATGAAGGACATGTGAAGGATCTCCCGTAAGTGTTTGTCACGATCCCACTTCCAAGCCTGGCCCAAATGCCCAAAGAGATTGGATGGAATCCAGCTCTTGAAACATGTTGACTAGGAGCGATCGGATGCGAACCGAGCTCTCCGCTCCTGGCATCGCGAACCGAACGGAGCGATCGGACGCTACGAACGGGACTTGAGGCGCATTTGCTTCGCCCTCGTTATCCAATTGACTTGAGGCCCCCCAGACTCGCACGGCTCGCGGGCTGTCCCTGGCGGACATCGACCCAGCCAGCGATGATGTTGGGAGCGGAGCCGTGGGGAGCCGTGGGGAGCTGTGGGGAGCTGTGGGGAGCCGGGAGGTCCCTTTGGATGATGGTGGTCCTGAGCTGTGGGTGCAGGGTGCTAGCCATTCTGCAACCGCAAAGGAGATCAAGAAGAAAACATGAAAAGCAGCCCATGTGGGTGGCAGCCACGGATGGCAAGCCTCGTGGCTTGGACTGATGGCCGAAGTATCCTTAAACATCCATTTGCCAGTGACCAAATGGCTGGACATTCTCTTTCAATAAAGACATGGTATCTTTTGACACAAAAGTTTCAGCTATTGTCAGCTAAGAATGCTTTGACTCTGAGATCCTGTAGCTTTAAACTTGACAGCAGAGCTTCGTGCCTGAAAGTAGGGGGGAGATCGGTGGCGGTAGCAAGGGTGGCTTGTCTGGAGGCGGCCACCATGCCTGCAGCAGGAACCCAAGGACCAAATCGCAGTTTTTTTTGGGTTTGAACTTTTGTGGGAAAGCGAGTGAATTCTGCCGGAGTTTTGCCATCATCCCTCAAGGTGGACCAAAAAAACGTGACCAGAAACGTGATGAAACGTTCAGCAACATGAAACCCTTCAGAAACCACCCCGACCACCCCGACTTCCCCAGAGAGTCGTCTTAAGATCTACAACCATGTGGTGGAATACATCTTCGTGTGTACCCCGTCCCGCCGATCCCAACCGGCCAGGTCCGTCCTACCAGGTCCCCTACCACATTGGCCGCTGGCTTCGAATGCGGCCTACAACCACAACACCTGGCATTCCCAGTAGATGAACATGACTGATGGGAGGTCTTTTGAACGAGGTCTTGAAACTAAGTTGGTCGCCTGCAAGCTGGGTAAGTGATCCTGACTTCACTCAACAGCAAGAAAGAGTTGCTGTTCCAAATGTCATGCTGGTAATCTCTTCAAAAGTCTGTAGATTAGATCGTTTTCAAACCTTACTGGCTACAAGCAGTACTTAATTTACACATTGCATGGGTTGTCCCACATGGACACAAACAAGGCACATACTTTCCGCACTTCAATCAAGCCTCTCTTCTCAAACCATCTACTCCCTGTATGCCATGTATGCCATGGAGTAGCCAAAAACTGACACCAGTCGCACTCACCGGTCGTCGGTCCAACACGGCTCAACCGTCGCCGGGAGGTCGTACGCCGCCCGCCTCTCCCACGGGCGGTGGACCGTTGGAGCCACCCAGTAGCGCCCCCTTGGCAGCACCTGGGCAGGTGGAGAGCCTGGTGCAACACGGAAGGGAAAACGACCGGTCTTGACTCGTGAAGACTCAGTTGGAAAAAAGAACGTCTGAAAAGTTTCAAATTTGGAGACCTGTCTCAACAACTACTCGGAATATGACGAGGTCCTGACCTCATAAGCAGGCTTGATCTATTGTGATCTTCTACATAGTTCTCCCTTGTTTGATTCAGGTGTGCAACTCAGCACGGTTTCCAAAACAAACGAAAGAAGCCACGAGTCGACCCATTGGTTCTTTGACTTGCTTTTTTCTATCGCCAACTCGTGCCTCAAAAAGCGAGAAAGGGAGAGACAAAGAAGACAATTTAGCGCACAACCTATTGAATATACGGAGTGCTTATAGGAAGTAACAACCAAGAGTAACATATATAATATATCTGATAGAAAGAACTACCGTAATTAAATTTGATGTTATCTTGAGGACCTGTTGTATCAGTGAAAAGGTGTATATATATATATATATCAACAATTTAAGTCATCAAGTTCCTCTCGTTCATATGTGCTTATCGAGGACAAAGGAACAATCATCACAATCAATTGTCAAGTTAATCCGCTTCTCTTTTACATCTTTGATCCTGAAGCAACAAGATCATCGAAGACCAGTGCTCTCATCTATTTGAGTGTTTCACAAGGAGGGTGGAAGCCAACAATCTACCAGATTTTTTTGGGAAACTTAAGTTATTGCCCTTGTGACTAGTAGCGATGCGCGACGCCAACGGGTTCCACCTCCACTTCCAGAAGAGCGTTCTGGGGCTCCAGGCCCATCAAGCCCTTCATGGCAGCTTCGACGACTCGGTGCTTCGGCTACATCCCTTGGGCTTTCTGAAAGCCCCAACTCTTGTTGACCGCTGGTTGCAAGAACAACTTGAATCAGCAACTGGTTGATATTGGAAAAGGCTTCCTTTGGAAACACTGGAAGAGGAAGCGAGTCCTCCTCTGTCAAGAAAACAACTGTTTCTCTATCTGCAATGGTGATGAGAGTTGTGCTTGATCTGGGGACGCCTAGGACTCTTGGTATCCATGACAATTGTTTCACCAACACATCCAAGTAGCTGGCCGATTTCAATATTCTCTAATTGACATATATGCCGACAGGAAATACCTGACAGTGGTCTTTGATCTTCTCGATGATTCTTAGTTCACAGTCCTGAGCCGAGCATGCTAGTCTGCAGCATCTTGATATCCATGGTCCCTGGCAAATCCCGCGATCATTCTTAAGCCAATGACAAACATTCAGAATCCAGTAGTGCAAAGGAGTCTTCATCTTTACAAGCTCCTCTGGTAGACAATCGTCCTGAGAATGTGAACACACCTGTCGAGAAAGCGCGCAGAGCAAAACCATGCAGTTGAATTTCAGAGTGCCGCAGAGTGCATAATGAAAACCTAACCTCAGGATGACCGGTGGGACCGGTGGGAATTGATCCCAATGCCTTGAACCGGGTGGAGGATCCCTTGCTGCGGAGGGAAGGGATCCGAATCGCTCCACACAGACTTTTTCGACGAACAACTCGCCCAGCAGGAAAGGGACTTCAGGCCTCTCCGGTCACAGATGAATTCAATGCAAAGAATATCAAGAAACTGGACTATGTCATTATTCATGGTAGCTATGGTAGCTATGTCATTATGTATCCTTGTGGCTTGGAGTCCATGCATAGTCACTCATAGTCTGCTTTTTTTGAAGCTACCTTATGTTGGAGAGGTTTTAGGTGTACATTTGGGATTACATCGTACATTGGTGATTGGATGTCCGCATAGTTGGCAAAGCTGCAAGTCATCCACTGCAAGGAAACAGCAACAACTCAATCTGCCAATAAGCATTGGCACTCCCTTTTCATCTCTGTCTCTAAGTCTCCACTTGCACTTCATTTGACCTCTGAAACCTTCGATGCAGTCCGAACTGTGCTTCCAACAAGACCATGTGGAACATCACTACCTTTGGGATTTCTTGGTGTAAACGCTCACAACTAAACCACATCCAAACAGTACCTCTACTCCATCCACAGAGAGGCTCCATGGAATGGATGTCGACAAATCCACTCTGAGGTGGCCAGGTCAAGGACTTGGACTTGGCCAAACGCCGCTCCCGCTGGCGGACCCCACGACGGTTCCCTTCCGGCCTAGGTTGAGGCCTCGACCTGTTCTAACCATTCCAGGACGTCTTCGCTCAAGACCTAGCGAGGTCAGACCGCATGAAGTCGTGGATCTCATCTTGAGACAAAAGACTGTACCAATATCGCTTTGGCAACATCCGGGTGTGTCAGACCACAAGGGCGAGAGGTTCTTCCTTTATAGCAAAATCTCTTGTATAAAGGAGTTGGCTGCAAGGCTACAAGATCAAATCATGACACCTTTACTTCTAGGAACAAATAGCTACGAACGGAACAAAGGGCATCGCGACTCGAACGGAGCGATCGGACGCTACGAACGGGGCTCCTGGCCTTACTAGGAAGAAGGTTCGCTACGTTCAGGGTCACATTCATTCTCATGCCCCAAACTGGACACCTGTAAACCCGGTTTTCAGACCTGTAAACCCGACGTCCGGGTGTCCCGAGCCCTGTCAACTGCGGGACGGTCGGGGGGGTGTGAGGAACGGGACAAAAGCGACCACATGTGGAGATGGGTTTGTTGGCTCCACCGAAGTCCAACGCCAAAACGCCTTGAACCACAAGGGAAACTTCCATCCACCGCAGGGAACATGTGTTTCGTCTTGTTTGGAGTTTCGTCTACTAGAAACGGCAGTTTCTGCTTACTAATTACGACGAACAATGGAAGCCATCGGGTAAATGGCCGTACATGATCATCAAAAAAACGCACCCGACAAAAAAGAATAATTTACAACTGATATCCATTAATCATTTCAACTTCAAGTATGTGCCAACGCGTGGCTCATACTGAGTCAGTAGAGCCAAAACTGTGACTATATATTTTTTCTTTTGAACTCCTGAAGCTCCTGAAGCCGCCCAACTTTGTACGCGTGAGGCACACTCTGCACGCCAGCAAGTGCAATCTCAAAGCAGCTGTGAGAAAATCACATTGCAGTTGGCAGCAAACACGAACAATCGAGAACATCTGGCAACCAGTCTAAGACTATATTTAAATATATTTAAGACCTCTTTGGGTTGTTGAAATGTCGTTTCAGATCTTGAGATGCGCACATGCTCACATACCTCGACCCCGCCACATGCTGCCACATGCTGCCACTGCTTCGCCACGCACACCGCCGCTTCACACCCTGGCCGTGGACCACACGAGGTCGCACCGCACTCCGCTCCGGTCGATCGATGTGCCGCGCCGCCGCCGCAGAGAAGCCGGAAGTGGCGGGAGAACGGAGAGGTCGATTGGGACATCTGCGCAGTTGCGTCGATCTGCGTCGTCCATGTTTGCTGATGGAAGGTACTTTCTGTTAGTTTGTTCATGTTTGTTCATGGTTCTTTTTCTTAGGCGTTGCTTGATGGACTGAGGTCCCACTTAGTCTCAAGAAAGCTAGAGGATCATATTGCTCCTCCCAAGAAGCTTGAGTGAGTGTTGGGAGATACATCCAAACAACATGGACTCTTGTGTGTTCATGTTTCTTTGACTCCGGGTGCCTCCAAAGAGAGAACCAAGGCAAACAAGGAGCTGCTTGTTCGATGCTTCTGAAAGGTCGTCCACCCAACAGCACGTGTCTTCTTTCGGTGGACCTTGTGACAAAATTACTTTCTTTTGTTTTGTGGTCCTGGGTCAGCTTTGGATGAACTGACATTCTATAATTCAAGGTTTCCATAAGTAGTGCTCCCAATAGTGGTCCCGGAAGCAAAAAAAAAAGGTTGCGCAGTTGCACCAGTGAGGATCAGTTGACAGATTGAATGAATGAGGACGGTCAGTCAACACCACTCCGGCGAGCCACTTCCAAGTCGCCAAACAGGCTACCCTCCCCATGCGGAAACCGATACACCTGGTCTGAGCATCCTCCCATGTAACGAGGTCCGACAAGGTTCACTCAGCACACAGGGAGCCACGCAGGGAGCCCCGTGATGTCTGATAAAAGAAAGCCGTTGACTGTGCCTGATCTGCCGTTTGGAAGGTTTGGTGCTGTTATGATTTGCGTCTGATGGTCAAAGGAATGGCCAACACCTGCAAGTTCGAAGGTCTTAATGTACCCCGTGCGGTAATGAATCTCTCCACGGGGTGGTTGGAACACTTGGAACCAGATTGCTGTGCTTGTATCCTTCAAAATGGACCCATGTATGCAGGATGTTTGGGATGCTGTTTTGTATGCAACTGAGGTGAAGACTCTAAGACTGGATGCATGATTCATCAAGCCCTGCTCTTGAGAGAACCATGCAGCTCCCCCCCGTGAACCAATACATAAGCACTTGTCAACACAATTTAATTGGCTCCAGACATGGTAAGAAAGAAAGTGTTTGAACTTGGGCCCTCTGGGAGTTCTCCGAATTCCGGGGTCAAGTCTAAGTAGCTATTCCTTGGGCGTTCGGACGCGATGCTCGGTGCCATCGGGCGAAAGGGCGGCCGTCGCTACGAACGTAACAAGAAGCTACGGACGTAACCCGGGGGGCATCGTTACTAGTAACAAGGGCATTGCTACTAGGAGCAAGGACGTTACTAGTAGCTCCCGGCCTTACTACTAGGAACAAGAAGCTACTAGAAACAAGGGCATCGCTACTAGTAACTAAGTAACAAGGACATTACCACATCTTCAGGCTTTCACTTTCACGACATCACGTAGACTCCCCGCGGGCACAGCGCGACATCACGTACGGGCGACTTGTCCTTCGAGCTTCGCTCAAGCCGTCCGGTGCACGGAGGTGTCTGGGAGTCATCCACATCCAAAGTGCTAGTCACTTGGAGGCCATCGCTACTAGGGTGGCCATCGCCACTAGGCTACTAGGGTGGAGGCCACTAGGCTACTAGGTTGGAGGGCCATCGCTATACAGGGTTGGAGGCCATCGCTATTAGAGCCATCGCTA